ACCCTGGTTCATCACGTCCACCGCTTCATTGAGTTGGCACGGGGCGGACAGATACAATTGTGTATCTGCCGTCATCCACAAGGACGCGCGCAGCATGCGCATGTGTCGTACCTCCCAGCAACACCTCCGCAAGCCTACGTGATGCGCCAGCTGCTCGGCGGAGCATCGCGCAGACGCTGTACATGCCATGCACATGTGCGGAAGTGCAGAAGGCTTTAAAGGACAGGTAAGGAGCTCAGGCGGGACGGTGGACCCTCCAGAGCACCGTACCAGAACGGTACCCAGTGCTCCGGGCAGGCTCAGGTACACCCGTACCAGGGCGTACCGCCTGCAACCCACCAGTGATTCAAACACATAAGCACCTACTGCCTAAAACCCTAGACTTAACAATTGTTGATAAGAAAGACAAACAAGTTGGGATAGTGGATGTTGCAAAACCTGGTGTCAGCAGAAGAGAAGAGAAACAACTTGTGAAAAATACAAAGTTCTGCAAACAGAAGTAAAATGGCTAAAGCAAAAGAAAGCAAAAATGGGACAAATAGTAATAGGCAGATGCAATTTCAAAACGTCATTTAAATACCATTGGCATTGACAAAACCAACATCAGTCAATTGCAAACAGAAGTTTTACTTGAAAAAGCTTACACCCAGTGAAAATACCTTTAACACCATCAAACAACAATACCGACGTATCCCAGGTCTTTGGGAAGGATTCGATAGGTGGATAAAAATGCCAAATTGCACCATAATGATAATAATTTCAACTATGCATCAATATATTGATATGTCTTATTTTTTATGTCAGATTATACACTATTTTGAGATTTACTCACCATTGCATACAACCCTGGAATATGATGAATAAAGTTATAAGTCTTCTCTAATTGGTATGAAAACACATGAACCATAATTTTGTATTTGAGGCACATCTTGATATTAATGTACTATTAGTGTACTAAACAATAAAGATTTTTAGAAATGTATTTACAGAGCAATTACAAATGATATCTAGCACTCTGGCCTAATACATACTTTTCATCTGGTCGCAAAACATTGCAGAAGGAATCAGGTCGATTTACAAAGAAGCCAGTTTTCTTCACGACGTTTTCAGCAATCACATTCAATCGATCAAGGACATTGCACAGTTTGCTAAGTGGGAATAAAAATAAAACATACTTTTTTCCCCTCTTTTGTTGAAAGTATCATTAGTGAATCAAAAGTAAAGAACTTTCAAAATGCAAGGATAACTTTGGTTTCATTGTCTGATTTAAATGAAAATGCAGAAGTCCACCTACAGTCCTATCATACATGAAACAAAATGTGGTAAAACTAAATGTCAGTCACACTGGTCTGAAAAAAGTTGGAAGAGGTTAAAAACCACCAGGATCCCTTTAAATAAAACTGATGCAGTTTTATAGATTTCTATGTTTGGTTCCTGATCTCATAAGTTTTTTAAAGGCTTTTAATCTGCTTCTTTTTTCAGATCCTTTATAAAGCACTAAATGTGTAAACAAGTCAATGCAGTTATGAACACAGTGTGCATCCATTGTAAAAAAAGGCCAATACCATATTATCAATAATAAAAAACAGTATTGAAAACAGAGGTGCCAATATCACAATGCCCTTACATAAATCACTGATGTGACTGCAACACTGGAACACTGTGTACAATTCTAGATACGGTGGAGCTAGAGAAGATACACAGGAAGGCTACTAAGATGATCGAAGGACTGGAGAGCTTCCCTATGAGGAAAGATTTTGACATTTGGGGCTTTGATGAGATGAATGAGAAGGGACACAATTGAGAAGTACAAAACTGTGCCTGGTATGGATAAAATGGCTAAAGACAAGCTATTTTTTCCTTCTCAACATATTGAATCCAGACTTCATCCAATGAAATTGAATCCCCCCAAAAGCATAGACGAACGAAATAATTTTTTGCACAATGCATAAGTCAGCTTTGGAATTTGCTACCACAAGATGTGATATAGGCTAATAGCTTGGCTATTATTTCAAAAAAGGCTTGACTCAACTGATGCAGGTTCTGGGGATCAACAGCTATTGATGGCAGTGTGATTGTATTTGAAGGATATCTGGACTAGACAGGCCAGGGGTTAGATTAGCAGTGCACTGCTAGTGTTCTTTTTTATGTTCCAAAGCTAGAAGATATTTTTTTTCAGTTACACTGGCCAGTATCTGTTAAATTACAGCAGTTTTTAAGGAATCATCTTAATGAGGTGATCCAAATAGGTAACATTACCAAATGGGCTAATTCTATTTTACTGTAAGGTTAATACAAGAATCTTACAAGTCTAAAAGTATATTTCTGCCTGTTGCCTTTACAATCCAAGAAAGTAGGGAAGGACCCTTCTGAGAGCTTTACCACATCCACATTCTTTTTGTGGCTGTGGCTCTTGTCTGATTTTTCCCTTGGCTGTGGCTCTTCCCCTTGTCTTCCGAGATCTTTCCTTAAACCATTATATAAAATTAGACAGTGGTTAATTTTTTATGTATATAGTGTACTATAGTTAGCCTAAATACACAGTTGCTCAAGACATGCTCAAGACATGCATATGTGTGTAAGCTATATTTGCTCATATGCTCTATAAACATACTCACAACCTCACGCACCTCTTTGTGTACTTGGCCATATCCCAAGGGATGTATACAATAGCATGTTCAGGAGGTAAAAACTGATTGAGGTAAGTTACAGCAGCAACAAGCTCGTCGCTTAGTATCCTTTCGTGTTTTCTTTTTTCACGTTCCTTTAAAAAAAGCATTAAATGAAAGGACATATATACTGTACATTAAATAATTTAAGCTCTTAGAGAGGAAAAAAAACAGGACTAAAGCAAACTATATATTAGTAAATACAATGAAGCACTGAAGGATACAAGCAGTTTTTGCATTTTCAAAATGTAGCCAATCTTTAGTCAGGACACTCTTTCAGAAATGTATACCGACACAGAACTAGCAACAAACCTAACTAAACTTTAAAAAGTGAACCTTTGGAGCAGGGATGGGTTCTGGCAGCCACTACTGCTAGTTTGTGGGTACACACATGCGTTATACAATAAAAATTATTCTGCACATGCACAGAAGCCAAAAACGATGGCGGCACCTATGGCACTACTAGGAGAACAGGTTTGGGATATAGGAGGCCTGGGTTGCTGCCGGTTCCAGCAACCCAGACCGCCAAACCACTACTGGGTCAGCTGAACTGGTCCGAACCAGTAGGAACCCACCACTGCTTTGGAGCTTTATAAACATGCATCAGATGTATCTGCCCAAACAGGGTATAGCATATGGTACACCACATAACAGCATCCTCAGTTGGGAGCACAGCAGTTCTATTATGCTATGGGTTTCTTTTGCCCCCGGTAATTGCCTTTTGTTTCTGTTTTTGTATTGTATTAGATAATCCGAGACCCCCATAAGGTAATTTAGAGATATTTCCTTTCCTAACTGGAAACACAGAATGACCAAGGGCAAAAAAGCAATGGGAACAGTAGCAACCTCTGACTTTCTGCTGACTTGGCTGCATCTGACCACACTCTGACAGTCAAAAGTGCAGGGGTCCCTAACCCCTGGGCCATGGCCCACTACCAGGCTATTTGGAACCCGAGTGCGTGAGAGGTGGGCCAGGGCATACAGCTTTACTTGGAACTGTGTCACATGAGTTCAGGCCCACCACTTGCACAGTCCAGTTCCCCGGCCTCCAGTAGTCTAGGGAAGGACTGGTTGGCTGAATCTCTAGGCATGGCAGTGTAATATCATTGAAGTAATCACAAATTTGCCAAATTACAATCCCATGGGAACCATAGGTCTTAGATTTTGGATGCATATGTTAGCATATTTGCAGTAACTTGTTTCAAAAAGTGATGCCTAAAACTACACAAAGATACGTCCAATTGAATGTTGCAAAATACGTAATATAAAAGCAATCTAACAGTCTAGCTTTCTTTGGGTCTGTTTGAACAAAAGTTAAATAGCCATTTGTCTAGAATGCTTTAATTTGGATTCCTTCATTGCACTTGGATGTTGAACTCAAAAGTTTAAATGAACCTTCTATGATTCTTTAAAACACATTGCCATGTGGCAATGGTGCTGAATAGAAAAAGCATCCTCATATAAGTTGACCAAAGTCTACTTTTCTCCTTAAAACAACATTTATAACAAACTATTCTTTAGTTCTATATTCTAAATGCAAACTCAAAAAACATTTATAAGCAATTAATATAAAAGAATCTAACTAAATTATGGTATATTATAAACTTTAGTTATTATTAATCATAAAACATGGAAAATGTTTTGCCAGGAATATTTTATTATCAGATTTTAAAAAAATCAGATTTATATTTGTATTTGTCCAATAAAAATGTTCTAGATACTAACTCCTAAAGCTCATGTTGCTCTAATCCTGAAGTTTCATAATAGCGTTAAATTCTTTCCTATGAAAATGATAAATATGCAAATAACAGAAAAAGCTCTTTACTGTTCCCTATTTCCATATCATACTAAATACCAAATCATTGTTTAGAAACCATTTATCTTAAATGATGTCTCTGAGTAAAGCTACATATGCTCTACATCTGATTAAGCAAGTGATTCAAGGTTGGCTCAGATGTCTAGGATAATATCCTCTTCTCCCCACACATAAATGACAAGAAAGTGTTAATGGGGTGTTCTAGTACAGAGCATCTTCAGAAAAGTGCATTTTGAGCCATATTCCAGAAGCCCTGTGAATAACAGCATGCAATGATTCACCTGGCAGTGTCACGTGAGCTTAGATACACATGCCAGCTCTAATTAAATCTAAAAATTTAACAGCCAACAACATTTTGTTACTAGCTGCATCCAATATTTGTTTACAACAGTCTCCATCTTAGCTTCTGAAACTGTTATCTCCAACTGGGTGGGGGAGGGGGGAATCTGTTTACATTTTAGCTGATTGATTTACAAAGTCTCAGTCTGCACAATTTTAGAAACACGGAGATACATTCAGAGGTTGACAATGTGGAACAAGAATCAAGTGCCTTCAAAATACTCAAAAGAACTAGGGCTGGATCTATGCTTTAGCCTTTCCTCATCACTTGTATGGCCCATCTATATTATTTTGAGTGACAAAATGGATAAATCTTCACCCACTACAAATGCATCCCAATATTTTAAAGCTATGTTTTCTGTCCTATGGTGCCTAAAGTCCAGGGGTGGGTTTCTCGCCCCGTTCCAACCGGATCAGTTGGAACGAGGCCGGCGGCGTCCTCGCACACGCACGCGGCGTCCTCGTGCACGCATGCGGCGTCCTCGTGCACGCAT